TGCTGCTGCTGGGGTCTGTCTGGGTTTAGGCCTGAGCCTATAGGAAGGGCCGGGGGGCACTCCCAAGTCAACATGACAGCGCTCCTCTTCCACCAGCACGGTAGTTTGACGGCTTCTAAATACAACCCACCTCCGTATTTCATCACTTAGTCCGCTGCTGCTGCTGCTACTGCTACTACTACTGGTGTCTTACAGCCGCTCTAGGGGGAAAGTGTTTGCTTCCTCCCCAAGTTGCTATAGAGGGGTTGAGTTCGTGTCTCTCTGAAGTGTTAAAACTTCATCAATTCTTCTGGAAGTCGTAGAAACTTGGTTTCTTTTCTGTGCCACCATTGCGCGAGGTTTGATTGGAATCTTCCAAACGTCTTCTATAGGCTTGCCTTTCCTTGACTTCTTCGATTAGTTGAATGAATTATCGTCACTCTGGTGGTGTAACGCTTGCGTCTAGCAGAAATTCTAGGGGTGCAGTCTTTTAGATCTCAATCAGTGGAGCGACTTTCGTGTCAAGGTGGACGTTGTGACCATCAGTGACCAGTCATGTGCGCTGTCGGAGATGTATATCCAAACTCTTGTCCTGGATCATACGTTGTTGGAATGAACGCATATTGGACATGAATTGCTGCTGGTAGGTATAATTACAGAGCTCAGGAGGGATAGCGCCCATCTCAGTCTTTTTTAGCATCCAATTGAAATGGTTAACATTCCTTTGGATAGCTAGACGGCGAAGCATGGCGCTGTCCATTCTGAGCATTGCATTTGTACCTCCCTGAACCTGAGCCGAGCTATCAGATAGGTTTTCTCGATTAGAAGTGTGCCTCCAATTCTTCTGCGGATTGTTATGGTACGCGTTCTTACCATTCACAAATGATTAAATTGCTTGTCTTGAAATACTCATCTGCTCATGCACTGAATTCATGTCTCCTCGCCCCTGTTCATTGACCTCCTGTATCTTTGAGCACCTAAACTTGATGATGAAACATATGGTAATTTTCTGAACAATCTTGTCAATGAACACTTCTTAACTGTGAGTAGTTACTACATGCACCTTAGTACATGATCTTGGGAAATCAGCCACCAGGTTTCTAGCCCACGAATGCGTGCTGCTAATGTTGCCTGGTTTGTTCGAAGCACAACTGCTCCTTGCCGCCACTGTTGTTTGTACAAGACTCAGGAAGAAAGGAGATCAGTTTAACTTGCGTTTGTGGATGCCCTTGCGCATTGGTATGACTGTTCGAGCCCGTGCTAATGTACGATCCTAAGATATCTGCGCTAGTGTCTAGGAGGCTTTCTTCTCATTCCCAGTCTTTTGTAAGGGATTGGGGACTCATGACTGTGACCCTTTCAAACTATTATTCTGAACACAACGTTTATATAGTCGAGATACTTGTGACAGCCGGATATGCCGGAGTTCGATCACTGGTATTGAATATCATGACACTTCATTAATTGGACTGGTATTTTGTTGGGTCTAGTGTGGTAACTTGACGCCACGTTAGATACATGAGGAGGTTTCTGTGCTTACTAGCCGTGTTTTACTCACTAAGAATAAAAAAAAGGTTTCACTCTATTGTCTTGAGGCAATCCGAATGTATGTTGGTGTATTCAAAATCAATTGGTTGAATATTTTTCTGTGGGATATTCATACGATTATTCTTTTAACCGCCCTAAAGCAAATTGCATCTTGATTAATAACTCAAGATAGAGGCTTCGGGCTCAATTTCTCTTAATCGCATCATTGCACATGTTAGATGATGGTAAATTGTTGGATGCGCACACGGCATCGTCTGCCGTTCCTTACGCTGTTCAAGCACCAACCTGTTAATAAGAAGTGCTGTTTACATATTGTCCTATCAATGTAATACTGTAGACGCTGCGTCTAGTGGTAGATTCTGAAAGCATTGTGTAGGGTTGTAAATGCTCCCACTGTATTAAATGCGCGCTTTTAAGGAAACTTTATTTCCTGGAAATGCATCTGCTCATCTGTTTTGAGAGTACGATTTCGCCTTCTACTTTTCCACATGAAAGTCCCGTGTGCCGTTTCTTCATGTCACTACACTTTTTAGTATGTAATGCTCAGTATGTGCTTCACATTTTTTGAGTCCTCTACAGCATCTTTCATCGTGAATCATAGCTAGTTACAATGACATAAAATGTTTTGTCAATGTGTTACAAACAGTATCCGAATCGCATGTTTTGCAGTTATCTGCACCCACTAACGTCCTGATAGTGCCGTTCTCCAAGCTTCCTCTTTGAGCTGCGTTTGAATCCCAAACTTGCTTTTCGTTTGATTTTAGTAAGATCTTGTTGTGGGTGTGGGTCTCCAAGCCGGATTACGTTGAACGTCTCTTTTTCAGTTTTGCTAACATGTATACATTTGGTTGGCACTAAACGTGTTCTAGTCCTCTATGCCCAAGTCTGGGCCTTCGTGTTAGAACGTTGAGGATTTCCTTATGCATCCAAGTTCTCTATGATAGATCAATGTTTTAATTGATTTTGGGGGAAGAGGGACCTAAAATCAATATTTTAATGTCGTGTGTCACTGCCCAACCATCGTGGAGTAAGTGCATTCAATTACGGTCTGCATGCAGTACCTCATCAACCGACTAACACTACCTGGTCAGCAGCTCAGTGTAGTTCATCAAAATAAATATTATGACTATTTCAAGCCTTATGCTCTATCTCTCTCTACAGTTCTAACTCTTCAACCTTCCCAACCATGGCACACTGCAGATCTCGTGCGAGATGAGTCTGACGCACACTCTGTGGCCTAGCTGATTGCACACTTGGACAGAGTGGTGATTTAACAATTTGCATTTGGTAATGTATGCTTTTGGAGAAGCAGTCTACGTGATTGAATTGGCTACAGCAAGTGGTGAAGGCCTAACCTGCCAAATGGAAGAGGAAGAGTCACTTCACCTCTATTATGAACATCTCCTTGATTCAAGTCCTACTTTGCTCTAACGGCTCTTCGCCTTCCTGGCCACTGCATCAGGATGTTGAGGCAGCACATTCCTGACTTGTGTGATGATCTGTCAAACAAATCCATCGCATTCTGCGCTGGGTAATACTGACACAGCCGGAGACATAAGCTTGTCTAGATACAGATTCTGCACCTCTTGACCTTGATACGTGATTCGTGCTGATGTAGGAAGTTTGATTGGCTCATTTGTGTCTGCATTGATCTCTTCAGGTACTCCTTCAGATGCTTTTGGAGTTATTTTTAGTGGTCCCTCTGCAATGTAGACTTGACTATCAGAGTATAGTCTTTCAAACAGGCAAGTACGTACTACCAACTTGGAAGTCCTCTTTCACAATCAAACTAAAGCAGAGTTTTTTGGTAACAGAACAGCTTTTGAAAATTAGGTTATGGATCGTTAGACAAAGCGACATTCACCCACAGTAGAAAAAATAAAAATAAAAATAAAACAGAAGCACCACCATTTTACAAACTTCAGCACAACTGGAACAACTACTTGAAAGTCCAGCCAACCTTTGAACAAGAGGGACGGAGTGACCTCCACACTAGAAGTCTGATTTGGAAAGGTTTAATAGAATCCGGACAAATCAGTTGATGAAGAAGCTTCCAAACATTCTAAACATAATACAAATCTCCTCAACAAATGGGGCAAATCTTGGATGATTTAACACTTAATTGGCTCTAGACTAAGGTAACTAAATGGAACTTGAGAGTATAAAATGTGGTCTTGTAATACATGAAAGTGTAGCTTTGAGTAGAGAGCAATAACAATCTTCATCACACACAGTACTCTTAAATCTATCTGACTGAATACCAGAAATTACTTTGTCTTTTTGTAACTTGTTTTTACTCTATCAATGCATCCGTTACATCATGTTTTTGTGCAAAAATTTAAAATTTAAAAAATCAGCTAACTTTGCACTAACTAGCTACTGAATTGTGCCTAGGTAACACTGTCTTGAGACCAGACATTTCACACATCCCCATGTTGTACTGCTAGTTTCAGTTAGACCAGGACTGCAACTCGATTGTTGCTCTGAATGGAATTCTACGGCTTAGAAACATGCTGTTAAAATTAGAACCTACCCTCTCTATGGCAGTACTAGTGTGAATATGAAGTTGATCCCTAGTAAAGTGGTTTGGACAGATGAAATGGTGCAACCTCCATGATGATTTTTCATTCTGGGTACTATATGTCAGATTATATGAGCCAATGATTTTAGCTCTGCATTTATGTATAGGAAAAAAAGAAAAGAAAAAGGTAGGACCTTGTCTTTTAGGTGTGTTTAAGAGGAAATTCAAGAAAAAATAAATTCTAGATTCCAAACCAGAAAGAAATTCAAAATTCCATTGCGCAAGTACTGATAAAGAACTCTTTTAAACTAAGAAAGTCTCATAGTTATCACATTTCTTAATGTTACTTAGTGTTAGTATTTCTTGTTGAGTTTTAATGTGATTGATGAATGAAGGGATTTTATGGGGAAAAAAAAAAAAAAAAACACACACACACACACACATTTACTTTAAATTGGTGGGTCACAGGTTCAATCTTATCTCAAACCACCCATATTAGTTCATAATTTATGAAAATGATATATGTTTGCTAAGGTTAAGATAGAATTAACGCCAATTCAAAATCATCAATAAACTTAATATTAATGATGATAATAATAATAATAATAAGATTATATTAAATAAAGAACTGAGTTTTGAAAGTCGGATTCATAAAGCATTGGCGAAAAACACAATGAAGCTGATTGTATGTGTGTCATTTGAAATATGTAACTTTAGTTTGAAGATATTCTTGCAGAAATTTCAACAACGCTGTTGAATGATCATGAAATACAGCCAGTTCAAAGTTAGCTTAAATTAGCGTCATCAAGGGCCTCCCAGAGGTGACACACAGCTGAGATCGAACCATATGTGTAAAGCTCTGCAATATAATTTTAGCCAATTTACTGACTAAACAGTCGTGCAAATACGGTAGCTATGTATCAATTATTCTTAGTGGTAAAAAAATTCTTTTGATTTTGTGGGACGAAGGAGAAAGATTAGCGACTTGTGTTCCAGGACAGCGAGGTCTTGGTTTACAGTTCATTGACGCGGTTCCGCGGCCTGGGTCTCCCTATCAAAGCTGCAATCTTCTCCTCGCAATAGCTCCTCCATCGCCTATACTGCAATTCCCAAAATGCAGGAATTCCCAAAATAAATTGACGGAAGTATCACACACGGCAGCTGGAAATCGGTATCGAGCGTCTGATTCGGTGGTGCATCTGTGACTGTTCTATGGATCGGAGCGTTGCCCCGTATTGGTGATTCTTTCGTGGCCAAGAAGAGAAAGCTTAAGCGGCGGTTGTGGTCGCCGTAGTTAAGCCTTCTTGGTGCCAGAATTGTTTTTTTTGCTAGTGGCTGAGATGCAAGAACTCAGCAAAGTTTAGCAAGCCAGTTGCCGCAGACCAATGTCTTCCAGGAGGCTAGTGTGTTGGAATGCAGTTAGGGGTTTAGTGAGGATATCGGCTTGTTGTAAAGTCGTGGGGACGTAGTTGACTTCTATGCCTCCAGCAGATGTTTTTTTTTCCATATATAGTGATGTTGGAGTTTTATGTGCTTCCTTTGTACATGGAGAACTGGGTTGTGAACAAGTTTGATACAACTCTGGTTGTTGCTTTTTAATGGTGTGGATGTTTCTTTGCAACTTTCCAGTTCTGTTAGTAATCGCCGCAAATGCACGATGTCGCGAGTTGCTTCGGTGAAGACTCGGTACTCGACTTCCGTTGTGGAGAGGGCCACTGTCAATTGCTTTTTGCTGCACCAATCCACAAGTGAGCCCCCAAGCTTGTGTAATATTCCAGATGTGGATTTTAAAGAGTCTCTGTCTCGGGCAAAGTCGGCGTCGGCGTAGGAGATCAGTGGTTCCGTATCTTTGTATTTGTAAAATAGAGCATAGTTCAGAGTTCCTTTGATGTACTGGAAAATATTTCGCACAGCTCTCATGTGAGTTTCTTGCGGTCGAGTGATGTATTTGTTCACACACCTGACTGCAAATGAGATGTCGAGCCTTGTGTTTGTGGCCTAGATTAAACTGTAGGTCATGCCTTGGTATAATTTGAAATTCATGAGGAGAGTCCATTTCTTCATGCAGGTGAACACTGGGGCTCATTGGCACTTTCAGTGAATTGCAGTTGTCCATTCCGTACTTCTTCAGAAGTTTCAGCAGATAACCGCGTTGGTGAACAAAGATCCCCTCGTCCATGTATGTTAACTTGGCTCCAAGGTACAGCGCCGCCCTGCTTAAACTAGTCATTTCAAATTCAATTTTGAATTGAGTCTTCATTCTGCCAATTTCCTCTTGGTAGTCACCAGTTAAAATAAAGTCGTCCACGTAGAGTAGAACAACTGTGTATTTCTTGTGTGCAATGGAGAAGCAGAGGCTCGGATCGGAGGCGCTCTTTTTCAGATTCAGTTCGCGTGTGAGTTAAGCATCAATTCGGCTGTACCAGGTGCGGGGTGCTTGACGCAACCCATACAGTGCACGTCTCAGCCAAGCAACCTTCCCCTCTGAATTTTTTCCGCTAAAGCCATCGGGTATTATCATGTACACTTCCTCCTCTATTGTTCCATTTAAAAAGATAACTTTTACTTCAAATTGTTTTAGTTCCCATTTCCTGCGTGCAGCAAGTGCAATAATTGTGCGGATAGTGTTCCAGCAAACCACCGGGACAAAAGTCTTGTAGAAGTCCTCTCCTTCGATTTGTTCAAAACCTCGTGCAACAATTCTGGCCTTGTGTTTGATGATTTCTCCTTATGTGTTTCTTTTTGTTTTGAATATCCGTTTTGCTATGATGGGTCGTTTTTCTATAGATAAGTCCGTTACCTCCTAAGTTTTATTTTTGTGTATAGAGCTCACTTCTTCCGCTATTGCTCTTCGCCAGTTTTTGCTGATGATGGCTTCTTCATAACTCGCAGGTTCTTCTTTATCACCTAGTTTGGCGGAGAATGTGATGTGATCTTTAAGCCGCGTTGAAGGTCTTCGGTCGCTCACAGGATATCTGTTCGTTGGTATTAGGTTCCGTAACAATTCACTTCCCTTGTTTTTTTTGTTACTTGTCTTTTGTGATGTTCTGCTGAACGCTGAGGTTCAGTTTCATCAGTATCGGTGTCCCGCAATGATGCACCGTCCTTGTTTACTGTTGATTTTCTGCTGCGATGTATCATTGGCTGCGGAGTTTCTGTGTCTTCAGAATTAGCGAGGCGCAGCTGCTCGTCCGAGGTATATGGTTTCTCTTTGTGAGTCTGATTGGTGCCAAATTTGGATGAGCTTTCACTGTTTTTGCAATTTATGTCGAGTGATGGTAGGTTGAAGTCAAAGGGGTTGTCTTTTGTTGATAACCTCTGCTTTAGGTGGTGGTAACCGATTCGACTCTCATCAAACACTAAGTCACATGTTATGAGATTTTTTTTTTTTCTCAGGCTCATACATTCTGTAAGCTTTGGTAAAATCATCATATCCTACAAACAAGCTTCTTTCCTCTTTTGATACATGTACATAGCAAATTCAACCAAAAACTTTGAGATTACTTACATTTGATTTTTTCTTTGTGTACTTTTGCTTAGGCGTGATTCCCTAATTTGCTTGTATAGGGCAGTGATTTACAAGATAATTGGCTATGTTGATTACTTCTTCTAAAAAGAAATTAGGCGTGCCTCCTTCAAACACCATGCTTTGTGCTTTTTCCACCAATATTCAATTTTGCCTTTCTGCAACTCCATTTTGCGAGATCTAGGTTGTAAAAGTTGTTTGTGTATTCCATTCTTTTCATAGTAGTCATTGAATTCTTTTGATAGAAATTTATCACCTCTATTGCTTCTAAGTATCTTGAGTTTCTTCCTTGTTTTTGTTTTGTTTTGTTTTTGTTTTTGATTTTTTTTTCTTCTCTCTGTAAATATTTTAAATTTGTTGAATACTTGTCCCTTTGCTTTTAAGAAGTAAAGTCAACTTTTCCTTAAATGATTATCAACAAATACTATAAAATATCTTAATCTACTTAGAGATATGTTTTAGGAAGTGAATACTTATTATATTAGAGTGAATAAGTTCTAATATATATTGTGTCACAAATATATTATACAGAAGACCAAATAAGAATTTGAACAAAAGAGTCTCTACAAGAAAGTTAGCACGAACTTGATTAAATTAGATGAGTATAAGATGAATACTGAGAGGTGAGCTAAAGTTTGAAGAAACATTTTGTTGAGATTAAGAATTCCTTCGTCCTTGATTCCAATATATATATTAGGTATTAAAAAGTTAATTGAGAAGTTTTCATATTGTTTGGAAATGAAGCAATTTTAAAATATTTCTTAAATAACTTTCTTAATTTTCTTATAACTTTTTAGAATTTGTTGAAATATTTTGAAAATATTTTATTAAAATATTTTAAAAATATTTAAAAAACTTATAGAATCTAATAAAATATTTAAAGAATATTTTTAAAATCTTATATTAGATGCTTGTAACATCATTTCTTTTTTTAATTCCAAGTTCGACAAGGAACATCAATTTTACATCTCTAAAAATTCAAGGAATTGTTCAATAGTAGCTACATTATATGTTGTGATTTCTATTGAAAAGATAGACTAATTCACTCAGATAGCAATAATAATCATCTTCATTTGGTTATAGAAGACCTATTCCTTGGATTTGGCTAGCATTAAGGCTTTCAAAACATGTGTGAAAAGTTACTTCGATTCTATTAGGGTTTATTATATTAAGTTGCAATAGAATGATGAAAGTTTGAATATGATTTTGGAGGTTACTCTATTTGAGTTGACTATAGTGTAGATGTTTCTTTCTTTGAGAAGGCCCAACTTCATCTCAAGGATGATCTTGCAAAGGTTGTGAGAGTTGGAACAATTAATTTAGTAGTTGTGATAAGAAAAGCCCCTGCTCTGACTCTATTTGAGATTTATGATTTAAAGACTCTCTAAATACTCTTTAATTCAATTTATTAGAACATAAATTGGATAGGCTAATTTCTAAGGTTGTTGTGAGCAATACCTGTTTTTTTAAAATTTTTTATAATACAATATCTTAATAGAAACTTCATAAAAAAGTCATTTTAAAGTAGGTTTAGATTTTTGAAATAGTGACAATGAAACTCATGTACCTTTTATAATGCATTAATTAGATTTTCTACTAGTTCTTATGTGCCCTTATTGGTATTATAACCATGTCAATAAATAAAGTATTTCAACTTGCTTCTTCTTCATTGAAAATGAAGGACTTATTTTACCTAATATTCCACATGATTATCTATTTCAATGTAAGGCAATGATGGTTGTATTCTTCTTGTAATAGTTTATTTTATATAAGCTTTTAAAAAAGAAATATGAAAGATTAGATTTACCTTCATAGATGTAGATAGTTCCAACCAATAAGCTATTGAATTGATTTGCTTTTGAATACAAAATGGTCTTAGTTTTTGGTAGTCTAACTTATCAAATGCCAATTGGTTTTGATATTTTGTCAAAGAAGCCAAATTTTATCTCTAATTTAAAAAGTAGGAGATTCTTTTCTAAATTTATCTAAAGATGCTTTGTAAGAATCTTGAGTTTCATATAAATGGAACTTCAAAGTTATTTGGAACTATGATAATTATTTTGTAAGATCTTTAGTTATTGGATTTTTATCCTTTAATATACCTAACAAATCAAGATTTGGATGATAACCAAAAATTAATATAAAATAATATTTCTTGAATTGAAGCATGAAAAATATTATTATAAACAAACTTTATTAAAGATAGATATAAGGTCCAATCATCTTGTTGTTAGTTGATGGTACATTGCAGATATTGCTCCAAAACTTCATTGACTTATTTTCTTTGACCATTGGTTTGAAGATAAAAGAAAGATGAAAGTTTGGTATCTATCTTCAATATTTTAAAAAGGAATTTTCAAAGCTTTGATATAAAGTGAGGTCTTTAATAAAAAATGATGTCATCAAATAGGCTATAATATCGATATATATATATAAAAATCTGTCATTTCTTTTCCAAAAATTATCTTTTTACATGGAATAAAATGTGCCATCTTTATAAGTCAATCTACAATAATATAAATAGCATCAAATATAGCTGATGTTAGTACTTTAGTAATGAAGTCCATTGATATTAAAGACCATGATTAGTTTGGAATTGGCATTAGCTATAGAAGTTTGTATAAAGATAATGTGGAGGATTCTTGGATCTTGAACAAATGTCACACAAGAAAAAAGAAGGTCCTTCATGGCCTTCTATATTTGAGGGTATTAAAAATATTGAAAGATAAGCTTCAATGTTTTATTAAATCTAAAATGCCTTGCAATTATAAAATCATGATGTAATTAAAGAACACAAAGTTGCATTGGTCATTTTAGAATATATAAATGATCTTTAAAATTGAAAAGATCTTCCACAAATTTTAACTTTTTATTATTAGGACATTGCTTGATATTACAAACTAATGTGTCTTTAGGTGATGCTATATGGATTTATTTAATAAAATTTGAATGAGTAGGTATAACCATAGAAGTAGCACAAAATTAAAATTATTCTAACTTGAAGAGAGTCGTATATTATTGCTCAATGCTTATTCTTTGATCTTTTAAATAAGATATGATCTCTTTGATAAAGCATTTTATAGTCTTTCTTACTTTTTTGGTCAATATATAATCACAAAATCAAAACAAAATAATGACATATTCTAATGAGCTTGGTGACGATTCAAAATTTGAATTGACATGAAATATTCTAAATTATTGTGATTTGTATACATAGTCACAATATATATAGCAACTTTTAACAAAGTGACATCATTCTTGGAAAGAATCTATAATCGCAAATAGCTCTTTATTGTAAATGTCATAATTAAACTTTGTAGTTGAAAGCTTTTGAAATTAAAATATAACTAAGTGGAATTTTCTATCCTTTTCTATTTGTGATAGTAAAACTTTTAATGCAAAGTTGGAAGCATCATTCTTCAAATAAATGGCCTTTGTAAAATTTGAATGCATTAAGATTGGAGTTGTAGTAAAAATTGCCTTTAAATCTTAAAAAGCCCTTTGAGCTTGAAGTCTCTATTTTAATTTATCTTTGGATGTCAATTGACTAAAAGAAGTAGCAACTTGGAAATAATTCTTGATAAATATTGGATAGAAATTAGCAAATCTAAAGAAATATTATACATCGTATTGTCACGAATTTAGAATACTGATTGAAAATCTAAACAAGAAGCTCAAGAAGAATCAACAAGAATTAGATTAATCAGATGAGTATAAGAACAACACTAGAGAGGTGAGCTAAAGCTCTAAGAGGTGTGTTATCGAGATTGAGAATTTTCTCAATCTCGGTTCTTATATATACTATAAGCTAGAAAGCTTCTCAAGCAGTTTCTATGAGTTAGGAAGCTTCTCAAGCACCTTCCACAAGCTTGAAAACTTCTTAAGTAGCTTCTACAAACTACAAAGCTTCTCTAAAACCTTCTAGAATTTTCTACAACTTCCTATTGTATGTCTTTGATATCACCCCCCCTTTAACTTTGAGGTCTTCGAGAAGCATTCCTATTGCGAGTCAGTATCAATGTAAGAAGTTAAAAATTTGTTGCATAGTATCTGCAATATACTCCAATTATTGTTTGCGTGACAAGTAATTCATTGGTCCTTGTAACCAATGATAGTGTCCTATGCCTTTGATTTTTGACCAGGCATGAACTTCTGTGTCTTCATTGTAAAAATGCCCTGAAAATACTCCTTCGCGAAGATTATCATAGGCAGATTCTACCTCAAACACAATCACTAGCGACCTGTTACTAAGTATCCTCCATCGTCTTTGTGGTACAAGTGGTTCTTCATGTTGGAGTCGTCTTCGAGATATACTCAGTTGAGAGGACATGATTGGTATGGTATCTATCTCTTGGCTATTCATATCAAAATGAAAAAATAAGTACTAAACATGGAAGAATGGGCTCAGGTTACAGATTTATAGTCTCTAACTATGTCTTTTAGAGGTTCCTTCTCTCCCTTCTTTGTAAGGCCGAGGATTAAGAGGCTTCAAGGAGAAGGGACTTCACTAAAAAACTTTCATTGAAAGGGCTTAGGTTTCTAAGGATGGCGTCGATGAAACTCCTATACCTTTTACAACGCATTGATAAGATTTTTCGCTAGTTCCCATGTGTGCTCATTGATATCATAGCTGCTCCAATGCATTGGGTACTCCAATTTCCCCCACTTATGCCACAAATTTAGTACCTTTTCCACCTCGTATTCCTCGTGGTTCTCAATTTCAATACTAGGTGGCAGACATTGCATTCTTCCAAAAAAAGATGAGTCTTGATAAGGCTCCAACAAAGAAACATGAAAGATTGGATATACTTTCATAGTAGCTGGTAATCCCAGATGGTATGCCACTGAATTGATTTGCTTCTAGATATAAATGGTTCCAATCTCCAGTAGTCCAACTTATCACATGGCCACTTCGTTTTGATTTTCTATCAAAGCAATCATATTTTATCTCAAATTTTGAAAGTACGTGCCTGATTTCGAAATTTGTTTGCAGATGCCTCGTAAGCTTCTTGGGCAGTTTGCAATTAAAGCTTCAACATAGTTTGAAGCTCCGATAATTATTTCACAAATCTTTCAGCTACCGGGTTGTTATTGGTTGATGGACTCAACAAATCAAGTTTTGGATGATATCCATAGTTGGAAAAGAATGGTGTTTATTGACTAG